TTGTAATAACTTCAAAGGTATCTTGAAGTAAATAGCTCGAAACTTGATTGGTTCTTTGATCGAGTGGGAAAATCCATGATAGTTGTATTTCACAACTTCTTTTGGTGGGTCATTTCATCACGTCAATTATTACAGGACCACTTTCCTCGCATTCAAGTGCATCCCACGCAGTCTTTTCCTGATTATATCCTATCCTGATTAAAATTTGAAAAAAAAAACGAGCAGAACAACATGAACGATGGGTGAGGATGATTAATCTCCCCCCTGCCAACCGATATCGATCGTGTGCTGAGTCATCGCCCGTTGCTGCCACTCTTGTGCCGTCGCTGGTGTACAGCGACGCAATCGCCGAGTCTGACCGAGGTCTTAGGACACATTTTGCGTTACGAGCAAATTGTGAGATAGGAAGGAAAAAACACACCTATTAATTGCCTTTGCTTTCGCAAATCGCTCTTCACACAGAATCAAATCTTTGGAATATACTCGTCTTTTGGACAAGTCGATGTATCCTGAAATGATTGATGTTCACCACAAAACAAAAAATACAAGGGAGAGACAAGTACCTTTATCCTTATCTACCCTAATGACGACCACACACTCGCTGCGGCCTACTCGGATCAACTTGTTCACTGATCGTATACGTCGGCGAGACAATTCAGACAGCAAGATCATACCCTCTAAAAAGCAATGAGAGGAAAAGAAATAAACACTACCACAAGTGCTCATTGCATGATTCCAAGGAAATACTGAGCGCTTTCATCCCTCCCTCTCACAAACTACTTCCATAATTTATGAGTTAAATCTTGCACAAGATTACACTCAAGGAGAAAAGATAGATGCAACATCTTCTCTTACATCACTCCGAGAAGAAGCTTTTTGTCTCACAAAGCAGTGTTTTCTGAATACGCTTGCTCGTCGAAGCGGAAGTTTCAGGAGTCGTGTTGTTGAAAATCGCATCAAAATGAAAGAAAAACCCACCTTTCCCATTGTACTCTGAGAGGCTCACATAAGCACCCATATCAGCTATTTGGCGCACATTTACCACAACCGTTTCCTCTATATCGGGAAAGTGATTCTCATAAAAGCGACAACGCATAGTCGCCATCTTGCCTAAAGATCAAAGCATTTTCATATATCAAACAAGGAAGAGATATGATAGAATACGTTTCGCGCATAGCAACATGTTATTTACACAAATCAGTACTCACAAAAGCATGCCCTAAATGAAAGAGATAGATATCCGCATGAGTACTATCGTAGAATTGAAAATTACTATGAATCGATCTGATCATTACCGGGAACACCCATACCTACGTGGACTGCTCGCTTAGACATGCAAATGAAACAAGACAATGCAAACCCACTGAGGTAGCCCAGCAAGCACCCATTTATGAAAGCTTGTCAAACTTATCGTAATAATTTGCTTTTCTAAACGCGAGAAGGGTAGCTTTAAGAAAACGACAGTAACCAATTGTTTGACTCCCACCGTCGCCCGCGCCTCTTGTTTTTTTTCCTTGCTTTTGATGAAACAGGCATAGATAAAGCCGTCCCCAGTACAACTGGGTGGATTCGAAAACAGATGAATGCCCGGGAATTAATTTTGACCAACATCATTAGAACACTTAGCAGACAAAAGAAAGGCATTCCGTTTGCTCTAAATTTTGCAAATATTGGATCGCAACGTCCATTCAGAGTTTCATTATAGTAACCCATATACAATGATTTTATTCTAACAATCACTCTAATGAAAAATATCAAACAACAACATGTAACCTAAACTATCCTATAAATTTTCAGGAACAATATTACAAGTGAGATACATAACGATTATAACGCGTATACAAAGGACAGCCAAGACGAAGAAAAAATGGGAAAGTATATCAGCATCGGAAAATACGAATGTCAACAAGCATTGCTAAAAAGTGAGTCCACTTAATGTTGTGGCAGATTGAGCAGTACGTTTTGATTTCCCGGCAAATATGTGACGTTCTTTGCTTTGGACATACGCTCAGCTATCTCCTCAGCAGCTTCGATCTTTCTCAACTCTATGAGTCCATCGCCAGCATCCGCGAACGCCTAAATGTCAAATAAATAGATGAACAATTTTTATAAAATTGGTGTCCATGAGGGGAAACAATAAATACCTTGCTGAGCAATTTGGCGGCTTGTGCATCTCCTTCAGCAGTGGTAATGGCTGCGATTTTCATTTGTTCAGCTTTCTCTACAAGATAACGAGCCTTTTCAGCATCTTGTTGTGCCACTTGTTTCATTCAACTGCTTCCGTGAACCATCGCAGACGCGAAAGGAAAAGGGGTGAGTCTATAAGTGGCGGATTAGATAGAATTGTAAAAAGGAACGTGACTAATTGTCTCAAAGAGAACGGCTGTAGAGAAAAAGATGAAAGTCCCGCACGGTAAAATCGACATAACTATGAATCACCTTATCACATCAAGCTATGCATCATTCATCAGTTCTTCTTTTCGCCTCAAACACCAAATTCAATATGAGCACTGACAACCCTCATTCTTCTTACACACCAAAAACGGACTGTAAAAGGAAATATAGGCGCGGTTGAACAACAGGAGTACTTCCGAACCACAAACTCACGACCGAACTTCCACCTTAGCAAGTCTCACTTTACTGCAAAAACATTGCTTTGATTCGGGTCTGTATTACAAAAACCTGTCCAACTGATTGACTGGTCCCAAAGGCGGTCTCGTAAATTTCAGTAAGATGGTTTATTTATTTATTTATTTATTACTATGCACTCGTAGGTGCGCTACAATAATTAGTCAGAAACCAAATCGTTATAAAATGAGAGTCATCGACTTAAAGTAAAACACATTTGAGCAGTATTTTACCCACAAGCGGAAAGTTCACAGACACATATTATTCGAAATCGTTGATGCCTAATAAGGCAAGTAAGTCAATGTTCTTTAATTTTCTTTTGAACGTATCGGTGTTTTGTGCCAGTTGCAAGTCTGAAGGTAATAATTGAAGCCATCTCGCTCCGCGAAAGCATAGCGAGTTAAAAACCTGAACCTGATGATTTCTGTATAATCTAGGACATTGTAGTGATAATGAAGTGATGCGACCTCTGCTCGGTCTCATTATCCAGTACTTGCTTGGTCTCAGCTTGAGTTCACCTTTCAACAATTTGAAACAGAATACGATATCATTGAATACCCTCCTGTACATCAATGACTTAAGATTCAAGCGAAGCAAGCGGTTTTTGTAATCGGGTAAAGCTTGTGGATAGGCAGGATTTGCATAACATCGATACATCAAAATTCTAGTAAAAGTCTGTTGAACCTTTTCAATTTTTGCTTGAAGTTTCTTAATGTGAGGGCTCCATATCTGCGAACCATATTCAAGTATGGGAACAACATATGCTTTTTGTAGAGTTTCAAAAAGATTGAAACATCATTGTGCCGAATATGTTTCTAAAGATTGCAAATAAGGTCATGTATGCTTTACGAACAATAACATCAATGTGATGCGAAAAATTAAATCAGAATTTATGAGGAACCCTAGGTCACGAACTTCATAGGAACTAGCGAGTGTAATATCGTCAATTGTATATGGTGTGATTCTGGCTCTTCCTAGGTGAAGGACCGACGTTTTCGCAAAATTTATAGGTATTCCCCAATCCATAGCCCACTTCATCATGTTGCGAATGGAGTGAGTTAAGGCTTGGTATACAACAGTCATAATTTTGCTCATTGTAACTTCCGTATATTTTAATGTCATCAGCGTATATTTTAATTTTGACTAGGGGGTTTGTATTCAGATAAGAGGGCAGGTCATAGGTATATGCAACAAATAATAAGGGTGACAAGTACTCCTCCTTGTGGGACGCCACTGGTGCAAGAATATTTTTGCGAGAATTGATTTCCCACTTTAACATACATCCGCCTATCTTTCAAATAAGATCGAATCCAGCTAAGTATGGGGCCTTCAATTCCTAAATTCCAGAGCTTAAGTATAAGTTTCTCATGATTAACCTTATCAAATGCTTTGGATAGGTCAAAATAAATTATGTCAACACCTTTACCCTCATTGATTGCAAGATTCCAGTCAAAGAATGCAATCTGCCATGAGAGTACACAAGTGGAGAGCTCCATGGAAGCTCATGTTCAAGCCTACATATAACTGCAAACTACTGGCTACGAAGGTAAACATACGGAAAAAATCCACATCCAGGCTTAAAGCCTCCTAATCAAAGAAATAGTGCTGAAGGGTCTGGCTTCTATTCCACTTTGGATCCAATAAAAAATAAACCATTGCTAAAAAAACCAACAGTCTCGACAACTAAAAATCGCTAATCCTGCGCTGAGTGAAACCCCTGGCCATAAAAATCACTCAACAGTCTAATTGGCGGAAAAAAGTAAGTCACTTGTCGCTTGATTAGGATCAAAAAGCACTCACAATGGAGATATCATCTAAGAGCAGACCGAATTGCGCGGCTCGTTGAGCAAGCGCCAACGACACACGTTGGGAAACTGTTTCACGTTGCGTGATCATCTCATGGGCATCGAATTGTGCCTAAAGGAATTAGTAAATCCACGTCACTAAAGTCATTGCATTGATCAATCTCATACCTACCACGACAGCCTTCAAAACTTCATTCGTGATGGAAGGCAGAACTCGTTCTGCGTAATCCAAACCAATATTGAGGTAAATGTTCGGTAATTTATTAGGATCTGGACGGTGAAGTATACGCAGGGTTATAGAGACGTTTTGAAGATCTGTAATTGAGCAGACATATTGGACTATGAGCAATCTTTGCCAGCATTGCAAAACAAACAAACACGCACTAGCAAACAAGTATAATATAGAAGGAGTACCTTTGCTTCCAGTAATCGTGGAAATCACTCTGGGTGTTGAGCGAATATCGAACAAAATTGGTTTCTGAAGCCAAGGAACAAGAAAATGAGTGCCTTCACCAATTACTTCGTCCTTCACTCCAGCGAATCGATCGAAAATAACGGCTCTTTGACCACCATCAACTAAAAGTGTTGATATCAGATAACCTACATTTTATTTATATAGGAACCCACAAATTTGCTAATAAACGTGTTGTATTGTGGCTCCCAGACAATACCTAACCATTTGGGCGCGGCCGCGGCGAACGCGGCCGAGTCGATTGTGCCCGCGAACCGTTGAAAACGCACTCGAGGTGCCCGCGAACTGTGCTGTGCTGAGTTCGCGGGCACCTATCAACTCGGCCGCGTTCGCCGCGGCCGCGCCCAAATGGTTAGGTATTGTCTGGGAGCCCTTGTATTGTGTTTCAAAATCTTCTCCATTTCAAAACAATGAATTTCCAAGATTTGCAAATGGAAAGGGAAGCCATGAAGTTACTGCGCGAAGCAAAGAGCTACCGTTCTAAAGAGCCGATTGGGCCACTCCACCGGCGATAGCAAGACCCACTCCAATGCTACCCAGTCTGCCGAGCATCTTCTGCACCGCCGCCATTGCTGAAATTTTAATGAGTTGGGAAATTCCATTATCAACTTTTAGAGAAATTGAAGCTGAGAAGCTCTACGTCAACGCGGAAATACCACTTTTGCCAAAAAGAACTAGTTCGGATATGTAACCAAGCACGAATCATACAAAGGTCGACCATGTTTCACAATGTATCTTTCTCGGAAATGTTTTCAAAGGTTTTCCCCAACAAAAAAAAAGCAGAACTTAACAAATAAACTAAGGAAATGTCCAGAAAAGATTGTCTTATTTCGAACACATAATGGCTTTGAGGCAATAACTTCTTCAGAAGAAACTTCAAAAACCCGAGCAAATGTTGCAATCAACAGCACAATATACGTTTCAATAATGTAGCAATCACAGGGTGCATTCATAGTTGGTCGTATGATCGTAACGACCGTAACGATCGCCTAGTAGTGACGATCATCAGACTTGTCCGAGGATTAGATGATCGATACGTATCTAACGCGGTGCGATCGTTTAACGATCGAAAGACCGCCCTATGAACACGCCACTACGAACGCTATAATACCTAACTACGGTTGACGGACTACTTGAACTCAGCCCTTTACCGCCTCTGCGCTCTCTAGCGGGTCCCTCTCCTCTCCAAGGCTTAGTCCTAGGGCATTCTCTAATCGTCTGTGCTCTAGCCATCGCGGCAGGACCATTGAGGAAAAATCAAGTAGTCCGTAAACCATACGTAACTACAGCCCAACACTTGATGGGTGCAGTCATACTTTGCAACCGCCTCACTTCGTAAGCAGTTACAATCGCACGATCGAACATTCTACTCACAATTCGCAAGTCGGTTGCAAAGTATGACAGCATCTTATGGAGAATCACGAACAAATGTTCAGGAGCAGAAAAAATATCGGAAAAAACCATGGTGACCCATAACTGCAGCACACTTGTCAATATATGTAGATAAGGAGGCGAACAGCAATGATGCCGACAGAGAGAAGAGTTTGAAGGGAGAACGTCTCAGATTTCCAGAACTTTTATGGCGGTGTAACAGGTTAACTCAAGTATGCACGTAACCACAAAGCCCAAGTTCGAGTGGTTTCGTGTCCAGACTACTAAATATAATGAGGAACACCCTTCGACCAATGAGATAAACCTCTTCATAAATGTATAAACAACACAAAGTACGGGCTCTGCAAATCATGGACAGCGTGAGCGATCACGGAGCTTTCCGAAGTTCTCATGTTCTCACAATCAGTCATTAATTTTTAGTGAAGGGGTGCTCTATGCTACCATAAAACACCTTGAAGAAAAGGGAACTTCCACTA